TTGGAAACGTGGTGATTGCCTGAAATTCGTATCAAGCTGTTTTTAACATTGAACAGACAAATAAATCGGAATAAAATATTTTAATGGTTATTACAATTCTGCTGCATAGTCTCCTAGATACTTATATACATTTTAAAGGAATTTATTAAGTATTTGATAAAAGGTCTATGGTAGGCAACGTATTTCAATATTACTTCAAGTGAGCTTTGAAAATTATTCAGTTATAATAATAAAGTAGCATTCTATAGCTGTTTCACATATATTATTTGTAAAACAAATTTAAACTGCCATCTTATTTTTCTTTTCAGAGTATGCATCTTGTGTTCTCAAAAACATCATATGTAAGACAAATTGACAGTTAATTGGTAATAAATGATTTAAATAAATTAGAATCATTTCAAGCTTACATCACTACTACTCATTCAACCATTCACGCTAATTCAACTAACATTTAATGAATGCCAACGATGTGCTAGACACTGTTCTAGGTGCTGGAGATATGGACTTAAAGGAGACATACAGAGTCCTTATCACACTTTCTAATGAAATAGGGCACACAGTAAATAATTTTTGAAGTTGTTTATGCAAAATAAAAACAGATAGTTACTAAATTATTAACAGAATATTATTTATTTTGCCTAATTTGAAATATATACCACACACACACACACACACACACACACACACCCCAATATATATTTATACATACACATGCACAGAGAGAGAAGGCGGGGGGAAAGAGAGACAGAGAAGAAGGCAAATATTTTTATTACAAGGTATTAAAAAAGATCTAAAGATGTTTAGGTAAGTTTTTTCTTCACCACCAAACAAACTCTATGCAGTGTCATATGTTCAAGAATGCCCAAAGTGAAAATCTCAAGAGGCCTTGCAGCTCTCCCTTCTTTCTGGAATTATTTGAGCATTGGGATTGGGGTGCTGGTGCTTACTCAGTCAAACTTGGCTAATTCAACTTTCAAAATCCAGGCAGTGACTCTATGATCTGTCCACAAGCAGGTTCCAGGGTTTCTACTGTCATTTCTTCTGTTTCCACAGGAAGAATTAACTGTATAGAAAGTCCTTCTCAGTCAGAAACATCTGTATTTTGCTTCAGTTCTCTAGAACAGGTGTCCCTAACCCCTGGGCCCTGGACTAGTACAGTTCAGTGGCCTGTTAGGAACCAGGCCGCACAGCAGGAGGTGAGTGACAGGGAAGAGAGCTAAGCTTCATCTGTATTTGCAGCTGCCCCCAGCACTAGCATCACCACTTCAGCTCCACCTCTGATGGTCAGGCATTAGATTCACATAAGAGCACCGGTCCCTGGACCCTATTCCAGACCACCCCTCTCATGACAAGTTCCCTTTCAAAACCTATTGGAGACACTTTCAGTCACAACATGCATTCTAAGACTTGAATTTCAAAGAGAAATCACTATAGTCTAGATTTTTTTTTCTGTTCCTTGGGAAATTTTGGCCTTAGTGTATCAAAGGATATTAGAAAGGGTAGCCTTTCAGACCACAAAAGACCTTCTCATATCCATCCCCCAAATTAGAGGGTACCAATCCATATTACAGTTGTGTACAGTGGCATAATTGTTTAGGAAAGGGTCTAGAAGATCTGCTCCGAAGTGTCTTCAAGATTCTCCTGATATAGACAACATGTCTGGCAATATTTCTTGCTAAGATGTTTTTAAGTTCTACTTTGCAAAGTACCTCATTAGCAGTTTAACATAATTTTTCAAATTGTAATTCTTTGAACAATAGCAATCTATGGAGAATATATATAGTACATCTCATGTAATACCTGTGTTATAACACATCTCATCATATACATTTAATGTTCACATACCTTCCTCTACTTTTCTTATTATATGCTATAACTTTGTATTATGATTAGGTCTTTATGTGTTTGCTTCACAATGGCTTAAAGACTAGTTTGTCCAGATTCTCTCAGCCCATGCACATATCCTGGTTGGCCAAGGCCAAGCACTTTATAAAAGTGAGAAAGGCCTTGTGAAAAGAAAAACAGTGGCACCAATTCTCCATCATCTTTTTATCCTTTCCTGATCCCATGGCAGGGTCCTGGGGCTGCTTCTCCCTTTTTCAACCAACGTGGGTGATGATGGATATTGACTCAGATATGTGGGCTCTTATGAGGGCAGGGAGCAGAACAGAAATGGGTCTCGAAGCTTCCTTTGAAGGTCGAATGGCAAATACCAATCTCTGTCCAGGGCTCAGCATTCTTCTGCTTTCCAACTACCCCTACCTGCAGTTCAGTTATTTCTAACCAAATTATTTCAAACAAGTGAGGCTTTTCATTTCCTTGAAAATCCAATCAGAGGAGTCAGAGATTTAGATATTGTTTGCTGAACTTATTATGGGAATCTAAGCATTTTTCTGTCAGACTTTGATGATCAGAAATTAGCCGTGATTATTCTTTTGGTTAGGAGCTGCTAAGGATTAAATCTGTGTCACCCCAAAATTCATATGCTGAAGTCCTAACCCTCATTATGTCTGTATCTAGATATAGGGTCTTCAGGAGGTAATTCAGGTTAAATGAGGTCAGAAGAGTAGGCCCAAATCCGATAGGACTGTGGCTTTATAAGAAGAGGAAGAGATATTCTCTCTCTCTGTTTCTCCCTCCCTTTCTTCCTCTCTCTACCATTTGGAGGACACAGTGAGAAGATGGCTTTCTGCAACCTAGGGAGCTATTTCCCAGACACCAACCTTGCTGACACATTGATCTTGGACTTTCAGTCTGCAGAACTATGAGGAAATAAAATTCTGCTGCTTGAGCCACTCAATCTATGGTATTTTGCTAACGATGGCCCGAGATGACAAATGTGAGAGCCTAGGCTCTGGATGCTTATTGAATCCTTGCTCCTTCATTTCCCTAGATATGTGACTATGGCCAAGTAAATGCCTTCTCTGTGCCTCAATTTGCTTCTCTGTGAAATGGGGATAATAATATTACTTATTAGGGTTATTTTGAGGATCAAATAATTTAGCATATGTAAAGTATTTATATGGTAAGCACAAAACAATTTGACTATTATGGTTATAAATTCCAAACATACTTAATATGTAGTACAAACATTGCCAAGTTGTCTGGCCAAAGACAAACCCCAAAATCACAACAGTTTTCTTTAGAAAATTCTTCGTACACATGATATATTTCCCCCTTATTTTATAGGATGGGTAAATCCAAAATGATAGTTTGGTTTTTTTTTTTTATGGCATCAGTTTTTTTTTTTTCTGACAGATTGGAGCTTCAGAAGGACAGAAACTCTTGTTTTCCTTTATAACCATATAGTCCCTTAAGAAAACACTCAATATAGGTTGGATGAAGGAAGAAAGGCTGGGCAAGAGAAATGAAGAGAAGAAAGAAAGGAAATAGAATATTTCACTGAATTTTTAAAAAATCTCCAGGAATTCAGAATACATGAATTTAGGCTGACATTAAAGCATATGTACATCTCATGTAAAACGTACAGTGAGGGAACAAAATGGCAAGAGCACAAGCTAAAGGAAAACTACCACCAAATTTACATTTTCATTAATTCAGCTCTAAATGTGACTTTGTATCACTGAATAAATGACTTACTTCCTAAAGGCGATGGTCAGATAGGAAATCATTACACTTTTCTTGTGATTAGCATAATATTTATTATATTGTCTTTTTAGATAAAACTTAATCATTACAAAGAATTACTCACTATGTTCATATTAAAAATATAAATACTGTGTCAGAACAAAAAATACCTTCCAAGCCTTTCAAAATGTCAAAATATTGAAGTACTTTTGGGCATATCTCTAGTGGAGACTCCCACTTGGTTTTCAAAGTAACAATAACAGCTACTTATGGTGTATAAAAGCTTGCATTGCAATACAATTTGCATTCTGTTTAAAATTTCAAGTAGTTGAAGTACATTCAGGTAAATCTCTATTAGGTATCCTCATTTCATTTTCAGTGAAATGAATACTATATAACTTCTTGTGTTGCACTATTTTTTACATTCTAATACTTTTATTCATAGAAACTGAGAATGTATTACGAGAAGATGGACCTGAAGTTAAAGAGCCACTTCTTTTAGCCACAGATCAGCCAAGTCCAGAGAAACAGGGTCGGGACATGGAGAGTTCGTTGGAATCATCTTTTGTGGATTCTTCTGTAGCTTCAGGTACTTGGAACACCTACGTTACATGCACAAAATGCTATTTCTAAAAAATATCAGTGTGCATTAATGACACCAAGATCTGTTAAGCAGAAGGAGAAAATTTGGACTTTGGGGTTTTGTAAGCATATTTACTAAAATAATATTTTTTTAAAAGAGAATGAATTAAAATCATTCCTCTTGGTGGCTGAAAATATTTTCAAAACTAATGCAATATTAATATGTTATGAATATGAACACATTTGGTTCTAATTTTACTTTATAAGACATCTGTGGTCCTTGTAACACAATGTGTCATAAACGTACCCTACATTTCATGGTTTTCAAAGTATTTTCAAATACATTGCAGTTATGCACCATATAACAATGTTTCAGTCAATGATGGGCCCCTCATATAGTGGTCACGTAATATTATAATGGAGCTGAAAAATTCCTGTCGCCCAGTGATGTCATAGCTGTTGTAAGATGGTAGCACAATGCGTTATTCATGTGTTTGTGATGATGCTCTCGTAAACAATAAACTACTAGTCATATAAAAGTATAGCACATGTAATTATGTATTTACTATACTTTTTATAATTACTTTAGAGTATACTTTCGGACTTTAAAAAAAAAGTTTGCTGTAAAACTGTATGTTGTGCTACCCTGGCAGCAGCCTCAAACACCTCATGTTAACTGTGTCTCTTGATTACATCATTTTCCTTTGTGCTTAATTTTGTTGTTTTGTACAGTAACATGCTGTATAGGCTTGTAGCTTAGGAGCAACAGGCTATACCTTATCGCCTAAGTGTGTAGTAGGCTATGCCATCTAGGTTTATGTAAGTGAACTCTATAATGTTTACATGACGACAAAATCGCCTAAAGATGCATTTCTCAGAGCATATACCAGTTAGTTGTTAAGTGGCACATGACTGCAATTAGTTTGTTTTAGCCAAAGCTCTGATAATCAAGTAATGCCAGTACTTTTTCCTCATTTTTCAGATTGAGATGTCTCAGAGAGTTTCGACTGTATTGTAGAGACTAAAAACTAAAAACTAAAACTAAGACTAAACACTAAAAACCTTACAGCAAGGAAGATAAATAGGTACTAAACTATTGTTGGCTTGAATTTCAGTAACTAATTCGTGTGACAACTCGATGCCACCATGTCTACCTTTTTGATATGAAACAGCTCTGGAAGAATCGAAGTAATTTAATTATGTTCCTCTCCCTAATTTGCTCATAATAGAAGCCTTCTCTACTCCTTTCTGTCCCCAAAAGGACTACATTCTATTTTCTCAAGAAATACTTAAAGTCTCTTTGGTGTACTAATAAATGTTTAATAAGTAGCTCTCAGGGGAAAAGAAAATAGCCCTAATTTGTAGTGTATACCAATCTCCATGGTGTAAATGCTCCCACTAAGGCTAATTTCAAGCCTTCAACATAAATCACCAATGAACACAGGAAAACACAAAGTTGTGAAGAGCTGTGCAGTAGCACAACATTATATGGCATTTCCACCACACACAGGCATACATAGCCTCAACATCTGAGATAATAGTAAAATCTAGCAAAATGATTAGGAAATGATGGGTTTAAGTATCCATTACTTTTAATATAATTTATTTAATTGTAAGTTTATGTAATTTAATTTTTTTAAATGGCTGTGCTTAACAAAATTCCTGAAAATATAACAATTGGCTCTTGTAAGCCAGTATAAGCTGACCCCACCATACGATTGAAAAGTTTACTATTTTCTACATAGAAAAGTAATATGGCTGCATGGCAGCAAATTTAGAAACAGAGAAACGTACAAAGAAAAAGTCACCCACACTCCCACGGTAGAGATATATTACTCTTTAATAGTTGGGTGTGTATCCATCTGGTCTTTTTACACATCTGAATGTTTATATATTATGACATTTTTCCTGTGTTCATTAGATGTTCTACGGAATGGTTTTTAAAGATTGACTAATAGCTCTGTCCACTGGTTGCATTATAATTGATTGATTGACTAATTGTTGAACATTTCGTATGTTTCCAAATTTCTGCATCGTGAATAATGCTGCAATAACTCTTTGTATTTATGTCTCAGTTTAATTCTTATAAACATATTACATAATTGGAATTTCTGGATCAAATGATTTCTATAATTTTAAGACATTTGATAATTAACATCAAATTTCACTCCAGGAACTTGTACCAATTTACATGACTTCAGATAATGTAGGGAGTACCTGGTGCCCTGAAGTCTCTTCTACAGAGTGGGTCATATTTTCAAACTTTTCCAGTTGGGCATTTTACTATTTCAATTTGAATTTCTTAATTTTTAATGAAAAACATTTTTACAAGTTCATCCTTTTTTGTTGTTTTTGTTAATTACCTGTTTTTCTATTAGGTTATTTATCATCTTCTTGCTGATTTCTATGAACTATTTAGAGTTGACCCTTTGTCATGAATAGTACCAGTATTTTTTATAGTTTTCCTGCTGTTTAGGCTTGTATATGGTGTTTGTTTTTTCATAAAATGCTTCTGAAGTTTTAGTGCACATATGAGTTAATTGGAGGAGTGGGTCCTGTTGAAAATCAGATTCTGAGTTAGTAGGTCTTGTGTGAGGCCTGAGATTCTGCCTTTCTTACATGCTCTCAGGCATTTCTGCTCCTGCTGGTCCTCGGCCACTCTTTTAAGTAGCTAGTTTTAATATAGAGAATGGCAAAGCTTTTAAGCCTGAATTTTAGAAGATTTTAAAAATTTGAGCAGCTATGCTTTTCTTCAAAAATCATAATTCTATAAGAATGCCAAAATCCATTATCTGATTTTGGGTTTTCACTTTTCAATAAATTTCCATGGCAAGCTGCCTGACATCTTTGTGGGTTACTGGCTATTTTCTAAGTACATACTGGGAAGAACTAAAGACAGGATGGAGGCTGGGAAATGATCCTTCATCTCAAATAATGGGTTTTCATCAAAGGTTGCCAGCCTAATGCATCTCGTCGGACTGTACTTTATCTACCTATGGAGGATTTTGAGTATCAAAGTGGACAAAATTAAAAACAAAACTTCTTAAAATTTCTATTCTCTTACTATTTAATATAAAACTTAAAACTACATCTTATGAGGAAAAATGTCTGGATCTTAATAATGGCCGTAGGGAACAGAAAAGTTTTTTTTTTCCTCTCTTGGGTTCCTTCCCTCCTTCTCTCCTTTCCTTCACCTCTTTTATTTAATGAATATTTATCATGTACCAAGCATGTAAATACAGTGGGGGAATAACAGAAATGGCTTATGTCCCCATGGTCCTTTCAACTGGTGGGTGTGTCAGTAATCACTATGTAGCTGCATAGTAAGTGCTATGTAATAGTAATACAGTAAGTACTATAAAGAAAAGTACAGACTATTAAGATATATAATAGTCTGAGAACATGTGAGAGTACAGTAAACTGTACAGTAATTTGAAGACTCCATCCAATACACAGACTTTAACAATCTTCTAGTCTGTAAGATCCCAGCGATGTGAATTTGGGAGCAGTTAGTCCAATCCATTCTGGCCCTTTCCAGAGCAATGAGAAAGGGTAACTTATTTATGAAAATGTAGTGCCTTTGCTTTAGCATGTAGACACTGCAACTGATAGATGCCGTAGATCATTCCAAGTGCCTATTCGTTTTCTTGTTGCTCTTCAGAACTAAGAAGTACTGATACAAATAACTTGTAAAGTACCTTAGTCCAAAGAAGTTATTGGAGTTCTTTTGATTGAAATTTTAGTTACAAAATCTACTATTGAAGGATTTTGCCTACACAGGCATTCTTTGACAGAATTAACAATCAAAATAAATGTGAAAGTATTCCAAAGTCTCTGATATGCATTTGCACAATTTTGTTTTGTGTATCTTATTGATATTGGTAATATAATAATCTTTATTTTGAATTCCAAAATATTGTGCTAAGAGTTCAAACACAATTACCAAAATGACATTGAAATGAACTTGCTACTTAAGGTTCACATATTCTGTAAATATGAGTTTTCATATACACAAAGAAAAACATTTGACTCAAATTATTTCCAATTTCAAATGAAGACTTCTCTAATTTTTATTTCTGAACCAATTTCTAAAATATTTTTTCAGTGCATAATAATCTTGATGCATACAAATGTTAATTATTTATCATTTTAATGCAAAGATTCTTCATATATTGTTTTTTAGCCCCTTTTACCCTTAATACACCTGATGGATGAGACAGACTGCCATTAATAACAGTGGCCTGCCCTGAAACCAATAGTAATCACATTCACTTTATTCTATTAAAAATACTTTAATTATACCAAATAGATAATTATCTGGATTATTTTAATTCTATCAGTTTACACTAAAATCGGTTATACAGTTTTAGTTGTCTGCTGCTGTCGTGTTACAGGTCAGTAGTTACTTTACATTGACCTTTTTATTATACTATTTTAAGAAATAATGCTCTATGATAAAATAAAATTAAAACAAATGATATTCACAGCTATATAAAATTAATTGTATTTGGAATAAACTTACTTTGATGTAGAGTCCCACAGATAATCCCTCAAACTTCTTACTCTATGTTCTGTCTCCCGGTTGTCAAACAGAAAATGCCAATACTTCATATTGAACAGCAGAGGGCGCTTTTACATTTATAAAGAGAATGGAACTTCACTGTTCCAGTATAGTGTTACAGTGTAGTGTGCCATGTGTGAATATACAGTGCGCAGGACTATGAATGCATGTGTATATTTTGATTTATATATTCGTTCACGTGAAGATTTTAAAATTCCACCCCAGCTAATGAGCTTACCAACCTGCTTGTTTTCAGACTTTAATACCTTCTTTTTCATATTCCCCCATATGTTCCACTCCTTAGGTTTATCCGGTGACATTATGCTTTGGAATATATTGTGGATATATTTTGCATAGATCATGTTCTGTAGGAGGGGTTTAAAAATTGACCTTTATAAAACAGCCTCCTTCTCCCTGGCCCAATCTGTTATAGCACTTTTTTGTTG